GACCACAAATGCATTCAATGGAATTATTTTCGATAGTCTAGCAAAACACCGTTCCATGCTTCTATCCTCAGGATACTGAAATCCTTCTCCTCCACGCCACAAGCCCCTCCGGGCTGGACAGGCAACTTTATCTCATGCGGGCTGCTCCCTTGGAGCGGCACCGCTGCTCCCGAGGGAGCGCACCCCGTAGCCGGATGCAGTAAGTGCCTTGGGGCTGGGTGGCCTGTCCTCTGGACGGGCTCAGCCCCGGCGACTCACTAGGGTGCCTGCCCAGACCAATGTCTCCCCCTACATCCTATCATCCTCCCGGCTCTGAAATGGTCTTAATGGACCGAAAGGGCCTACCTAACCCCCCCCAAAAAAAAACAATCTAGCAAAATGAGTGATAGCTGCCGGCTGCACCTTTGTTGGCTGTGTCGCGAATCACTTCTATCAACAGGACGGTTAACCAAACGAGGCAGAGTGACATCCCACTGGATGTGCTAGGTTTACAATAAATTATCGCTGATGTTTCCTCTGTTGAATGGCTGCGGCGTGGCACAGGCAGAGAAGCAATGTGACACAGGAGCCCTGCTTAGCACTGCTTTGAACCCCGGAGGATATAGGCTGTAAGCTCTAGCAGCCAAATACATCGTCCGTAGGGTAGAGTTTAAATATTCAGCAGCTGCTCACTTGGTGAAAGAACAGTGACGAACAGTGACGCTGGCCGAGCCGTTCACGGTAACCGTCAGTGACAGACAGCCGACTCGTCTGTCATGAATGCGGGCCGCGGCGGCCAGAATGTGACCCGTGGCCGTTACCCCTGACCCCTGCGTGGCACAAAGGGCCGGCGATTCCCATCAGGACGGCGCCGTCCCGGAGCATTGTTAATCCACTCGAGTCGTGGCCTTCGCCGTGAATCATGGCCATCAATTCACTCTCCGAGAAAACGAGGTCAGTGGAACCCCTGCGCCGCGCTGTGCGCCGCGCGCATCACCGACGTCTTATTGCACGACTGTCTCGGCCGTATTCCGGGCAGGTGCGTGTATCAAATCAGCCCTGTTTTCCACAGGCGACATGAACATATGGGGCAGTTGACTGTGTTTGCCGCGCTCGACAGGCGACTGGCTCACAAACGACCAGAGTTATCCTCGCCGTAAGTGGCTGTGATTTACGAGCAGCCGTCGGCAATGCGCAGTGAAAGTCGACCGTTCTCCCCATTCCGGAGAGCGCCGGCCGTGGATGGGGTAAACAATGCCCCGGATACGGGCCGGCACCGGAGCTCGTCCGAGTGTCGGTGGTGACAGCTATCCCTCCCCGGCCTGTATTGCATGAGGTACAGGACAGACCAACGGAAATGACGAGGGACTCCGAGCCAGTGATGTCAATCGCGGGACACATTCCATTCGGCATTCACATCTCGTCATTGTGGCAGTAAACAAGGCTAATGTAGCCTATACAGCCGTCAGGACCAAGTGACAGACACCTAACTGCCAGGTCAAGGCAAATGATGTGCGCCATTCTTCATAGGTGTTAAATCGTTCAAAGAAGGCATCGAGAGCAAGTGTCTTCCCTGAACGTTTCTTCTGGCAGACGGTGTTCTAATGGTTTCTAGACTGGCTTGTTACCTTGCGGTGAGCATGTTACCGACTCGCGCACTGCCACAGTCACGAAGCCGACCGTGGCAGTTAACGGCGCTCGGCGGGGGTGTGACGGGACGATTATGGCGCAGTCGAGTCATGACTGAACGATCGGGGCGGTCGCGCACGAGCGCAAGTCCCGCTTCTGACCCGCCCCGCTCCGTATGCACTGGGTGGGGCGTGAGCTGTTTATTTTGATTTGGACGACATCGCAGATTTCAGTGGCTGGGATGGCCTCGTACTCCTATCCACATATGATGCCTACCAGTTGGTCTGTGGATTGACGAATTATTCTACTGAATGCCTTAGCACTTCGTAACAATGAGCTGTTGAACAAATAAAGCCCCATGCATGGGTTGCTATCTACGTTTGCAGCAATGCAAGGCCTCAACAATGTAGCAAAGCTGTTGTCATCATCTGCCCTGTGCTGCCGATTGTCGCATCGCATTGTGAGCCTGAACGAGGCTGTTTGTAACAACACAGTATTGTGGGGTGACATCTCGGGACAATTGACCCCCAAATAGCAGGATACGCTCCCGAGGCCATCAATTGTGACTCTCAAATGGCAGGCTTCATTTTCGAGGCCCTTATCATTGACAAAACAGACGCTTTGCCGTAGAGGACGACCGAGTGGATGTGGTACTTGCGGGAACAAATGCCGTTCGTTCATGTAAGTACAGTTTACATAAGTACAATGTTTCGCAATAAGTTAGCAATATAATTGTTGTGACAGTATGCTGGCACCCGCATACCTCAGCAGATCTTCCCGTCATAATCACCACGAATGCTATTCTTATTTCTAAACATTATAACCAAACCTTTTTATTTAAGTACTTATTTCATAAAGATGCTAAATCTGATTTACGTATGAAAAAAAAAACTTTTTGGCGATCCTGTTTAACAAAGTCTATTTTTTCACAGTATACCGTCTCATTTCATTGATAAGTTTTAGACCACATAAAAAATATTATCGACGTTTTATTAATCCAAAATATTCCCACTTAATACCGATAAGCGTTACCGCAGCAGCCACTCGGTCCTGTGACCTGTCCTCACCTGTGTGCGGGCCCTGGCGGCGATCTGGCCGAGGTCGCTCGCTGCCGGCGGCGAGCCCGACTCCTGCTCCTCCTCATTCTCCTCGATCAGGTCGGCCAGGTGCCCCGAGCCGCCGGAGCCGCCGCTGCCGACGCTCGCCAGACTGTCCCGTCGGCCGCTCTCGAGTGAGTCGGTCGAGTAGCGTCGACTGGCCGCCGAGTCGCGACGACCCGAGGTCAGGTCACGGCGAGCGCCGGGCCCTCCGCTAAGCCCGCCAGTCGATCCTTTCCGGTTCGTGTAGCCACTCAAAGAGCTGGTCGATGAAGGGCGACGTGAGCTGACAGACGCCTTACGCACGTCTTGTGAGGACCTTCGCACGTCCTGTGAGGGTCTGCGCACGTCTTGGGACGGTATGCGCACGTCCTGAGAATGCCGGCGCACGTCCACCGAGTTTTTACGGCTGTGCGGACATGAGGTCTGGTGGTGTTCCCTCTCGGGTGTTCTGCGCAGGTTAGGGTGCTGCTCACGAATGTGAGTCTCCACCTGAGAGATCTTGACGTCCCGAAACATGTCCTCCAGACGGTCCATCACCTGACGGTTCAGCTCCTGCGGGTCGTCCATGGCGGCGCAGAGATGAACGGACGATGACAGAGATGACCAGTTCTGTCAGGTGACCAGTGAGGCGAGCACTGTGTTCAGTTCACTGTCACCAAGGAAAGTGTCCTTCCTTTCTTCAAAGTCTTCAAACGTCACCGCATCTATCACACCATATCTTTTTATTATCTCCTTCCTTCTTCACTTCTAGCCAGTTTTATCAATATGTCCTCGACGATCTCCGTCGCCTCTGCTGCTGTCGTTGTCGTCTCCTCCGCTGTTTCTCGATGCCTCCGCCGGAGATCGGACCCTGCGCTGGACTGCGGCACACCCAGCCGCTCTCGGCCGGTCCCACTCCCAACTACCCGCCCGCCGGCCGGCGTACCGCAGCGCCCGACGGAGGTCACTCCCGCTCTGACCCCGGCGTGACGTCACCGAAACGTCACCCAAGTGTGACGTCATACTCAGCATCACCCCGCAACGGACAGTGTGATTATGTCACGGAATGATGTGATGTGATGTCAGGGAGTGACGTCATACTCACGACTGGTATTATTGTTTGTTCGACGGCTGGTGACTCCGGTCTGGTTCATGGGCCGTTATATGACAGCTGATCTCACTTTGCGGGCTGGGAGCGCTTGGGGTATCCACTATCCAGTTTGCCCGCGTTGGGAACGATCGGTCACGGATGGGAAAATTCCCGGAATTTTTAGCATCGTGACTGGGTTTGGAGACGAATGCGACATTACTGGGGCTTCAACGTCATGCCGATTGAAGGCCAATCCCGTTGGTTGTGAATGGTGTTGCACATACCGCCGTGCTAGCAGTGCATCCAACGCATCTCGGAGAGGATTGGGGCCGCGTCTGACCAGCTCACCTGAACTTTGACCCGGCGCGGTCATGCGAGTTCCGCCGATAAATAGGGATCAGTGACCCTTGAACCGGAACGAACGCGGTAATAGAGGAGGTTGGAGGTCAGACACATCAAAACATTGTTCCCTGCTGGGAGATGTGACGTCCAGGCGCTGAGAAACTCTCCCACATTGGTCATTCAAGGTCGCGTCGCTAAGACCCACGCCTTGACTGGAGTTTGTGTTAAAGTAACCATCCCACCTTAACATTAGTTTTGAGTTAAGATAGTCAAAATGGGGTCCCTGGCTTGCACTTTCTGGTTTGAGCACTCATTACATCGATAAATGCTTCAAATAGAAAATATCTAATTTCAAAGTTGCAGCACTTTGGATTCAGCTAGGGGGGCTAATGCATTTGAATGTCCCCTCTGAATGTGTGACGTCAGCGCAGATCTAACGATTTTAAATTTTTACTAAAACGTTTCATTTTGGTAGCACGCGATGGTATATGCTGCTTTGCGCGCAACCAGTAGCGGCGGAACACCTTAAAAAGAAGGGAGGGCACTGCCGACTTTTTGTACCAAGTTCCATGCAACGCCCATAGGGCTAATGTTAAAATGCCAAAATCAAAGGGGAGGGCACGGTGCCCCGGTGCCCTCCCCGTTCCGCTGTCTATGCGCTCAACAAGTGCCGCACTTTCAGCTGCCAAACTATTACTTCCAAATAAAGTCGCTAGGAACAGCGGAGATCCCAAAAAGTAAACAAAAGTAAAAGTCTAATATCTTGAAAACCGGTGAATATTTTTCGGCAAAATTTGGTAGATATTCGTTTTCACTCTTTTTGAACCGAGCGACATCACTTTCATGCCAATTCATTAACTTTTTTGAAGGTGGATTTTTTTTTTTGCTTTGTGTAATTACTGGTGCACGATCAGCAATTGGCACAATGTCATCTCGGAACCTGAGAAAGCTGAAAGGGAAGCCAGCTATTGCTGAGGAGCCATCTCCCCTTCACCCTGGGGATGAGGAGGAGGCTGATGACCTGACCAGTGACACTTCATCTCGGCCAGCCAACATCTTCAGCTTACTGAATGAGTCGCAGTCGGAGACCGACGTCAAGGAGGATGACGACGTCGACACGAGTGCGCCGGCGCCGCTGCCGCAGACGCAGGGGAAGCGGAAGCGCAAGAAGAAGAAGTCCTCGCGCCGTCCGGCGGCTGCCAGTAGCGAGGATAACACGGTGTCGGAGGTGGACGAGGTCGACGCCAGCGTGCTGGAGGTGAACCGTCTTCTCGGAGAGATCACTGTCCAGTCGCCGGCCACGGAACAGACCAACAGCACCATCGTCAAAAACGTGCTCACCATTGAGCGCAAACATCTGAACCCGGACGCGGAGATGCGCCGCATGTTCGGCCGTGACGTGGTGGACCAGCGGCGGACGGGCCGGCGCCGCGGGCCCGGCCACCCGCGCTCCTTCTCCATGGTCACGAACGTGCACCGCTTCCCGCCGCCCGTCAAACTCGGTTTATCGATGGAGCTAGTGGAACAGCGTGGCTCGGAGCAGTGGTTTCAGTTTGTGCACGGCCCCCAGTACCAGGAGGTGGAACACCAGTTCCTGGCCGCTGTAGAGTCCGTCAACCCTGACAACATTCTGGCGCTGATGAACCGCCACCCGGGCCACGTGAACTCGATGCTGCAGCTGTCGGACGTGTGCCGTCTGGGCGAGGACCTGGCGCTCTCGGCCGAGCTGCTGGAGCGGGCGCTGTTTACCATGGAGGCGGCCGCCCACCCGCTGTTCTCCGTGACGGCGGGCACCGCGCGGCTCGACTACCGGCGCAGGGAGAATAGGCCTCTGTTCCTGGCGCTGTTCCGGCACGCGCGGGCGCTGAGCGAGCGCGGCTGCCACCGCACGGCGCTCGAGTTCTGTAAGCTGCTGCTGTCCGTCCAGCCGTCCGACGATCCGCTCGGTGCCGTGCTGCTGGTCTGTCACTACGCGCTGAGGGCGCACGAGTACCAGTGGCTAGTCAGGTTCCACGCCCAGTGGGAGCCGGTCCGAAACCTGTCTCAGCTGCCCAGTTTCGCCTACTCGGTGCCATACGCGCACCTTCTGCTGGCGGAGGCGGCGGGTGACTCGACTGAGGCTGAAAGACTGAGACAACAGGCTGACGCCGGCCTGCAGCGGGCACTGCTGCTCTTCCCCAGCCTGCTGCCGCTGCTCAACGACAAGTGTGACGTCACTCCGTGCCAGGAGGTGCGCGAGTGTCCGCTGTTCCAGCCGGCCGCCGAGAGGAGCCAGGCGCAGGCGCTAACCATGCTGTGTCGCCTGTATGCCGAGCGGTCGTCCGATCTCTGGAAGACCTCCACGGTGGCTCCCTGGCTGCAGCGGAACGCACTGGAGTCGGCTCGCCTGGTCGAACAGAAGGACCCGCGCGTCGCCGAGGGACAGGAGGCCAGAAAGAAAAGGTACCCGGGTATGCCGCTCTCCATCTGCCGTCACGTCGTAGTGGCCGATGTCAAAGAAGTTATGGGACTTTTACCGCCGGAGATCACCTCTCGGCCGGTGGTGGGCCACGACCCGCTGCCGCCGCCGGATGGCACCTCCGGCTACACGCTGACCCGGCGGCCGCGGGCCGCGCTGGGCTCCAGCAACCCGTTCGCCGCCTTCTTCTACTCGATGCTGCCCAACTTCGACCCCAACAACCCGCCCGAGGCCCTGCTCGACGACGGACACGCTGTGGCCGCAGCAGCGGCGGCGGCGGGTGGCGCCGGGCCGGCCGGCGAGGACCCGGGCCTGGGCGGCGAGCTGCGCACCTCCGTGGTCTCCCTACTGGACGCCATGCGTGACCTGCTGACCAACCTGTCGCCCATGCCGGCCACGGTCGATGAAGACGCCGACCTAGACGAGTCGGATGACGAGGCCTGGGCCGACGCGTGATATGCACGGGAGGACGGTACTGGGTGACTGGCTCTGCGCACTGACCGGGCGCCGTGGGATCTAAAGGACACCAATCCGCCTCCGTGGGACCGTTCCGTGAGCAGCGTTCGTCACTTTTGCTGCGCCGGTCAACCAGGGACTGCCAGGGACTATCAACGGACACGGAGCTTGTGGACATCTTGCCGCCGCCCTTTAACGGAAATGAATCGTGCGAATGGGAGCTGAGCTGCCACTGATGGTGAATGCCAGATACTGTGCCGTCGTGAGGAAGCCTATTTTTGCAGGTTGTGATAGTGAACGAGACGCTTTGTTGGGTTTGTAGGATAGCCGTGCCTGGGTTTGGGAGCGCACTTTGTATATTATCGTGATTGCGTCCCATGCTCCGTCCTGGGCGATGGACATCAATATATGGACTGAAATCGGAAAAAAAAAACTTTTTTGAAGGTGGGAGCCGGCAGGGTCCCTTTAAATTGGCTCCGATGTCACTGCTTTCATATGAGATGATTAGGTTAGGCCTGGACGGCGATTGACTTTTGATGCCCTCTATCTCGAGATGGTTGTCGGAAAGCCATTGGTCACACATGAACCATTTTCTGGTATACCTACAACCAGCTTCATCTTACTCGTGAGCTCATTAATATCCCAAATTTCAACAAGTCTTAGCTTAAGAATACCTAATTTAAAACTTAGGATGTTCTAAAATCACGCTAATCGATAAAAATTAGCTGAGCTGATGTGCAGTAGAGAGAAATATAATGGAAAAATCACGACCCGCCATCACCCAGCAATGGGGGCCGTTAAAATCGATCCCTCCCCTGTCTGCTGACCGCTGCACTGCTCGCTCCGGTGAAGTCTAGCCGACAGCGTCATCTAGCGGTAAGCCAGCAGAGACCCTGAGCGGAGACCGAGACAAGTGAGTGTTTGGTCCGATCAAAGAGCAGATAGATAGAGAGAGAGAGAGAGAGAGAGAGAGGAGAGAGAGGAGAGAGAGAGAGAGAGAGGGAGAGAGAGAGAGGGGGGAGATAGAGAGAGGAGAGAGGAGAGAGGGAGCAAGAGAGGGAGAGAGGGATAAGAGAGAGAGAGAGAGAGAGAGAGAGAGAGAGAGAGAGAGAGAGAGAGAGAGAGAGAGAGAGAGAGAGAGAGAGAGAGAGAGGAGAGAGAGAGAGAGAGAGAGAGCTATCACACAAAAAGAGGCCTTATATAGGACCAAAATGAATAGATATTAGCAATGCCCGTCCGTCGTTTCCGTTCTCAGGATGACCAAATCCTTCTCCTCCACGCTGCAACCCTCGCTCCGTGCTGGACAGGCAACTTTGTCTCATGCGGGCTGCTCCCTTGGAGCGGCACCGCTGCTCCCGAGGGAGCGCACCCCGTAGCCGGGTGCAGAGAGTGCTTGGAAGGCTGGTCGGCCTGTCCATTTGGACTGGGCTCAGCCCCAGTGACTCTCTAGGCCCTAGGGTGCCTCTCCAGACCAATATCTCCCCCTAAATCCTATCATCCTTCCGGCTCTGAAATGGTCTTGTCAGACCGAAAGGGCATAACGCAAGAAAACAAGCAAACAACAGGTATTAGACATCAATTTCAAACAATGTCGAGTCAGCTGAAGGATGCATCGAAATGACAAGACTATAGGGGAAGCCGGGGGAAGCCCGGGCGCGGGGGAAGCCCGGCCACCCCGTTTCCGGCTAAATTATTCACAATAAAATGCTCAACTGTTTGTCCTTTCAGCGTGGCAGCTAAGGTAACGACAGCAAAAAAGTTGAGGCTGACAAAAATTGCATATTGTTAAAGTTATAGCGCAAAAATGATATTTTAATGGTTTTTAGCTAAAAAGTGAGATATCTTGCACTGTTAATGTTATACCATACAGTACTAATATTTATACGAATGTTATGTAAGGACAGTTTAAGTGTTTGTAGTGAGGGGTGACGAGGCAGGCTGGCTTAAGTATGACATTTTTTCGAATATCGCTGTTCTAAAATAAAAATAAGCACATTGGGGTAACCCCGGGCGAGTGGCCAAGCTTACCCCCAACCGAGAGCAATGCCACTAAACCACTGTTTTCCATGAGATAATAGGTACTGAGCAGGTTTGGTTTACACCTAGATCAAAGATAAATTTCGAAAATAAACATGTTATCATAGACAAAGCCAGTCATGTCACTTAAGGTCAATTAGGGTCAAACTACGTTTTTGCAGATAACGCGACAGACAATGAAGCTAGAGTTTCAAAAATGGAGTCGTTGTGTTCTTCTTCATCAGCCGAGTCGAATGACATGCAATATGATGCATTAAGGTAAAAAGAAAAATAAATTTTAAGGAATTTTAAAATACACATTTTTTGTCAATTTCGCATCACGATTTTCATCGACCTGTATTGTATATGTAGTAGACGCTAGCTAAAATGCCAGTAGTGACATAAACTCTAAGATGTCCAGAGCTAATCAGTACCTTAATATTTCACTTTCCGTTAATATTTGGAAAACACATAATGGTTTCATCAACTTGTTGTAAAGCGCAGGGGAGGTGGCCGGCGTTACCCCTATGCCGGGCTTACCCCAGAAAAATCAACACTTTTTTAAAACTCGATTTTCTCAACCTTATACTTATTCCACAAAACCGAATTTTTGGGAAACACGGCCAATGAACTTAGGTAGCTAGCAGGATATCAACATTTTATACAGCATGTATGGTATGTAATAAAAATGAAAAAGAGCTTACTATGCCGGGCTTCCCCCGGCTTCCCCTAATTGACAAGTTTTTTTCGTGGATGTGGAGACATGATTAAAAACGAAAGGAACACGGGACAAAAACACGAGACATTTCAACTTTCAAATGTAGGTATGTGAACGAAGCTGATTTTATACATTTTTTGTTGCATAATTTCTATTTTCCAATTTTCCTACTTTCCTACTATTTTCCTACTAATTCCTGTTATTTTCCGTACCACCGCAACTGTGAAAAGCTTTCAAAGTTTTGGAGTTCTTAGTCTTAAAAGGACATGACGTGGCATCATTAAAAGGTCTTCATAAATCTATATCGAAATTCTCGACATGCTTGTTAAATTTATCCATGAAGACATTTCTTTAAATAAAAGTGGAATCGGGTAGGAATTCAGTTTCAAGAAACAAGATTGAAGAGTTTATGCGATATTGCAGAATCAAGGATGAGACAGATTCTGTGTCCTCCAAGTGCATGCCAAATGAAAATGTTTGATATACCTTCATTATGCGACCAAAAATGATGTAGCAATATACCGTTGGATTAGGCCCAGGTGGCATAAGCATGAGGCTGAAACATATCGTCAGTTAAAAAAAAAGCCAATGGTGTGAAGGATATATGTGAGTTGTTCGCTTTTCGATCGCAGCTGATGAAAAAAGAGCCTACCCAAGCAAGGTGATTTTCCTTATGGCACGAGTAAGCAAACGATGTTTTTCCAAACAGGCTATGCATTCCGAGTACAAACAATGACCGTCCATTGCGTTCCAAGTGCACTGGAATGTGGAATTGCCGCGGCTCCGTTTTCCGGCAGCCCCATTCATTGCCTGCCACTGCCAGAGCCTGTAGATGTATCACGTGCCCTCGCCCAGTTCACCGAATGCTGGGTGTGGCGACCCGACGGCCATTTTCCAGCCGGGGGCCCTCCAATTGTCGGAACACGACACTAGCGGGTGAGTCCGTCTCGACGGGCAACTTTCTATTCCCGGGAGGACTCGCCCTTCGGCAGCCTTGAACTTGGCGCGGCTGTCACGGCGCGTCTCCTTTCTCTCCGGGTGGCCAGCCGCGTCCTTCCTTCACCATGGGCCTCGGGCTGCGCTAACGGCCGCCCTTTCGGTTCACATTTGGTTCACAAGTGGCTCCCTTGTCAGAAAATGTTAAAGTAATAAAAATGACTATTGGGGATTTCTTGGAAGATTATTATTACATGACGGGAGGACTGTTGTGATAATTTTTGACCAGCTCCACAGCTAATACCGATCCTTTTACATAATCCCCGAGTTATAGGGGAAAGGCTGCTGACATCTTTCGAGGTTGGACTTTATTGAAATGAATGACAATTCAAACGGTATGTGGATATTGATGGTTTAAAGTTTATAGTTGAATTACAGCTACGCTCAACGAAAGAAAGTTGAAATTTAGAGTTAATCGAGACGTGTTGTGTGTGATTGCGGCAAATAATCTGGGTTGATCTCATAAAACAATGAACGCAGATGTAGAAAGCCCGCCGGAACTGAATTGAATGTGGACTGTAGTGTCGAGTCCTCCCGTGTGCTTCCGTCCAGTTCCACGTCCTTCAAACTCACTGTTTAGCCACCACCATGATATTAAAATAAGAACAGACGGCGATAACGTTACATAACAGACTCCAGCCCAGTGAGCTGGCTCGGCGTCTACCAGCCTCGGCCGCCGCTCCTCTGCTCTCGTGGCCGGTGTCAGACTCAGCGCCGCCGGCGCCGCACGACCCGTCAACGGTCAGCGCCGCCCAGTCACGCGGGCGGGCCTGCGTCATAACGTACAGTACGTCGTGAGCCGTCAGGCTTAGACCGAACTACGACGCTAGCGCGTCACACAATACTACGCACAACACTACATGGACACAGCGATTAAATTGTCCGTCGTATACAGGGAGGAAAGTATAATCTCGTCCGTGCCTAAGAGCGGAGCCATTCGCATAGCTAGTTATCATCACACATTCAGTCAAATATGTAGCAATATGTGTGAGGTGACCCGTTTAACCGGATCCGACCCACACTCGGAAGGACGGCGGAGGTCGGCGCCGGTCACAAGCGAGCGGCGAAGGTTCTCTAAAGAAGAGAAAGGTAATTGCACCTACACAGGCAGTCGTTGCATGACTCTTTTAATCAGGCTTCCCGTTGCCACTCCAAAGAAATCGTATACCTTCACTGATTATGCATTATCACACAATGCTGACGATTCTTGCAATTCCCCACATATTTATCGTAACTCGTAAGTGGCTTCTTTGAAGTGTTAAAGTCTTCAGTTGAACAATGAATGTTGCTGCAGTCACATTTCAATAGTGCCAATCTTTCATGGACGATGTCAGAAACTAAGCAAGAGAATGTCATTCATGGGTCACCGCGAGTGCCATTATTTGTATCTCTGTGCTCGTTTCCTGCACTTCTTTCACTCTTTCATTCATTTATTCATTCATTCTCGTACAACTTGCAGGTACGCTGCACACATGACTATACAAACGTAGGCAAATTTACTTAATAGTTAATACAACGCCTGGAAGCAGCAACACTTCATGTAAAGTTTTTGCCTAATCTTCAGCAAGTCATTCAGTTTTACTAAACCGCCGGGCTATACCAAAAATACAAATACTTTTTGGCTAAAAAAGGTTGCTAGATTATTTAACTGCAGTCATCCAAATCGGTCACTGCTCTATTCTTGCACATACATTTCGATGTGGGCCAT